CCCGACAATAATTTAGATTCAGCGTATAATATGTTACAATCTAAATAGAAGAATCAATATAACTTATATAGAGACCTGTTCTTTACACCGGTGTCGGGTATTTCATGTCGAAATTGGTGGAATTAACAATATTAATTTACATCTCAAATATTATTTAACACTGAAAGGTTTCTTTTTCTTCCAGAAGTTAGATTGATGTTTTACAGGCCTAATTCTGAGCGTGAACCTGTTCTATTAAAACCAGATGAATATTTTGTGACTTGTGTTGTCAAGGCAGAGTAACTCTCGCTTTCTGTCTCTTCTCCTTGCCGATACCTACCTTGCCTCTGATCCAGTCGCACCTTTGTTGGGGGTTCCCCAAGCAAGCAACTGCCTCCGGTTCGGTTTTGTACTTCCAGTCCAAGTCCGAGCCGTGATAATTGAGGAGCATAGATGGGACCTGTGAACCTGGGGGCTCGTCCCCCCCAGCTTCCAGCAGTAGCACCTTCCATTCCGGGATTTCCGACAGTCGACTGGCTACAACCGCCCCTCCTGAGCCCCCACCGACAACAATGAAGTCATATCCCGTGAAGTCAACCCTCTCTCTATCAGTGACACGACCGCAGGGGTCTGCAAGGTCACACTGCTTCCTCAGGAACATGTCCAGCATCCCCATGAAGACAACAAAAGCTCCGGCCCCACAGGTATTAGTCAGGGAAGGGCCAATGAAGGGCGCTGTGCAGTTGCATCCGGCCTGCGGGTGGAACACAAGGGAATTAGTTCTCACACAACAGAGCTGATATGAAGACCAGCCACTGGATCTGTCTCTCAATCTCTTATACATAAGATCCGTGTTAATGTTATCTTTCAGTCTCTGGCTCTGTTTTGAAAATGTCCCTCCTCGCAGAGCTTACCCCCCCCCCAGCATTCCATTCAGCCCATTATAAATTCTAAGTTTCACTGTTGTATCGAAATTAGGCGCGACATATAAGTCACGAAATTCCGCATTGTCTATGTTTTGATCATTTTGATTCGAAGCAGTTATGTTACACCTAAATAAACACGTGTACTAACTTCTCCTCTGCAATTCTCTCTTACGAAAATATTCAGTGCCCTCGTATGACTTTCTGACCGGTTGTGTGGGTGTCCTATACCCTCAGGGGACGACACAACATATCACATCGTCATGTGAGCAAACGAGACGGTTACGAACGGGGTCCAAACCTATCATTGCAATATTTGGGAGACCCAAGTTTGAGCAGCCATCGCCACGTGCGACACTGTCGCTCTCTGGGTCCAGTCGTGTCACTCCCAAAACACGCGTACATGCCATCAGTTGCAGAAAGAAGAATAGGATGGAAGAACTGTGAAGGATGGTGGGGGAGGGAGAGAAAGCAAGGAAGCAAATAGAACATACACACACAGTATATTAAGTCCCCAATGCAACTGTTTTCACTTTTATTTCTCCTCCTTACGACATGTTTCAACGTCAAACGGCCATCATCAGGTGTTTTGTCTATGCACACACTGTTGCGGTGTATAAAATGTATAAAATGTTCAATTATTTATACACTTCTAATGTTTCTTGGTTAATGTATTTGATGTACACTTGATGTCTATTTGCATTGATTAATGCAATTAATTTCTAATATAATTTTGGGTTGAAATCGAGTAAAAAAAAAAGAATCTTCACATTTTCACGTGTTTAAATAAGTGAACATTTTATATATTTTATAAATTGTGACAGTTTTGGCGTAGATAAAACACCTGATGATGGCCGTTTGAGGCCGAAAGATGTCGTAAGGATGAGAAATAAAAGTGAAAATAGTTGCCTTGAAGACTGAATATATTGTGCATGAAAGATATATAAATGCAACAGGATGCTTAAATATATAATTGAAAAGGAAACAGTTTAGTGAAAGTTTCGATCCCAAACAGCAAAAGGAAAACGACCAGGTTATTTGACTTCAAAGGGGAGACAGCGTTGGAATGAGCAGACGGGCATGGACTAAAGAGAAGGAAGCAGACAAAAGAGTCCGTGTGAAATATGGTGCTTGTTTTTTAGATAGCGTTCAGTAACCACACTTTACGTGCAGTGTCCACTTCGAATTATTATAAATAATAATAAATTAGGAAGAATTATAGAGTATTAGCGCAGCAGTAACATGGAGGCACTGAAGAAAACTTCTCCGTCCATGTTATTAAATATCTGGGAAGATATTTGAACCGATTACGTCTAGAATACGAAACACACGAGGCATCTACAACATATCTATTCACTTTATGAAGTACTGAACATTATTTCACATGTAAGAATCTCTGCTACTGAATATATAAAGACGTATCCGAAATAGAATGTAGTTCGTAATAACTCAGCCTTGTGCAGCTGTACACATAACGTCACGTGGCTTATTGTTAGCTGCGGGGATTCCCATGCAGCAGTTTGTTCGTATACTTCAGTGCGGAGAGCGTGGAAGCAGTTCTTAGAAGACGCAGATAAGCTGTAATGTTTGGTCACAGTTTCCTGGAGCTACAAATTTGGCTGCAAATTGAGTGCAGACAAAACGTTAAAGTGTCGGAACGCGTGGAGAATCAGGGGCATGCAGAAGGGGCCACGCTGAGGTTGCGGAGGACATCTGTGCAGACGGAAGCCGAGGAGATACTGCTGAAGGACAAAGATAAGGGGAGGGAAGGAGGAGGAGGTAGATGAAACATAGAAAAAGAACGTAAAAGGGGAAGGTAATGGGAGGGGGAGGTTCAGAAAAGAGAAAAAAGTGATGCATTGGACATCATAGGTCAGCGAAGGACCCCCCCCCCCCCCCAAAAGAAAAGAATAGTTGAAGCTTGAAGAAAAACAGAAGAAAGGCAAGGAAATTGAAGAGCATGAGATAGAGAAGTTAGAGCAGGAGGGAGAGGAAAACAGTGTGTGTGAGAGAGAGAAACTGAAGATGAGCGAAGTAATTAGGAATGGGACAATGGTGAAGTAATTTGTTTGCAGAATGAAGAAGACTTGAAGGAAAGATGAGGAGGGAGGAAGAGGGAAGACTAATAGAAGGTTAGTGAAGAAGAAAAGGCTAAAAGAGGGAGAAAGAATAGGAAGTGGATGAAATAAAGAAGGAAAAAAAGAAGAATTAAATCACAATGGCGATGAAGGATAGAGGAATCAAAATAAGAAGAACTACACGAGGAATGAAGAAAATAATTGGATTAGTGAAGATGAAGACGGTAAGGAAACAGAAGAATAAACTGCTGAATTACGGAGGAGAAAGGAATTCGGTAGAAAAGTTTGGGAAGACGAACTACAGAACGAAGAAGAGACAGAGGGGAAAAAGAACATTAAAAATTGATTAAGGAGAAGAAGAAGATGATGAATCGCATCAGATGCAGCAAGAAGAATGAACTGTAACAACATGTTATTGAAGAATAATGAGAAATGATGGAGGAGAAGAAAGAAAGAAGATATAAAAGCAAAAAGAGAATAAGAATTATAACAAAACAATATTGAAGAATAGCAGAGAATGGTGGGGGTGAAATAAAAGAAGGCAGAGACGCAGAAATGGAATGTTCTCTTACAAGATCATTACGCCATGTAACTAACACGAATTAACAGATGACAGTTGTTTGCATCTCATGATAAGGGGGGGGGGCTCCAGTAGAACGGCCGCGAAGAGTGACCGCTGGTTTAAGGATGGCCCCCATAACCATGGTTGACTCATTGATTCGAGTTACGGAACTGGCAAGCGCTTCGGTAGAGAGGGAATAACATGGTAAGATTGAGACCGTGTTCTGAACTTGAACTCCATATCTGTTTGTTCGTAGTCACTGGAGTACCTGCACCTTCTGACCTACAAGGAATGCATCCCATTGCGTTAACTTATTCGTCACAACACGACGCTGAAAGTTTTGTTCGCGTCAGCTGTGTACATCGAGTTTGGTGTCCTGTGTCCTGCAGGACACTATCCGAGATCAATAAATTCGATGTACACAGCTGACGTGAACAGAACTTTGAGTGTCTTGTTGTGACGGATAAAACAATTGGTATAAATCTTCTAGCTTAACATGAGACGTAATTTCTGTAAAAGACACATTTCTTTTTCCGAGTAACCGTACTAATAAATTTATCTGTGTATTTATTCTTCTAGCCCTGCTGCGGAAAAGCATGATTTGATAATAAATTTAAATGTTGCCACTAATAGTTGGTTCATACACACATAAATATCACATGCCCATTTTCTAAGGCTTTCAGTTTACGAATTATTAGTATATATTTTCGCTAGGACTGTATTTTCCATTTTGGATCTCCGTTTCCCACAGCTGGGACTATGAAGAGCACGGCCTTGTGGGTTATAACGCCGTATATTTCGGAAACAGCCCGACGTTTCGGGGGCCAAGCAAAAAACCGGCAGAAGCAAGATGCAAGCATAGCTAAGATTTCCGTCTGCTTCTGCTGATTTCTTGCTTGGCTTAGTTAGTTATTTAGAGAGGGTGGGTTTCCCCATGCACCGCGACCAGTTTGATCTATTGTGCTTCCCTCTATGATATTCTACCCGTCTCTATACCCTACCGATAAATGGTGCGTACCATCAGTCCCGCCGAGCAAGCGAGTTCGGGCACTTGCTTAGCGGTATCTATAATGCTTCCCCCATCTATCAGAGGCCTTAAAGACTATTGTTGGGCGGGAAACGTCCTGGAATTTGGCTCAGTGATCCCCTTTGGGGATATGAGGTTCTTTTACGTGCCGTAAAGTTACGACACGGGACACACAGCTTAAAGTCCCTCCCGGAGGACTTGTTCCCTGAAATTTTTCGCCCTTAAAAATTCGACGACCTCCGCCGGGTATTTGAACCCGCGTACCACGAGTCATGAGGTGGGAACGTTACCTCTAGACTACGGAGGCCGCTTCTTGCTTGGCTTACTCTCAGCCCTGAAAATTTAGGCGTTGCGTTCCTCCGAAACGTCGACCTTCCACCGAACTACATAGCGTTACAACCCTAAGACCATTATTTTATAATTTCCATTGTCAGAACTGTGAAGATACGGCTCATTTGACTTTAAATGTCATTCATAAAAGTAGACAGGAGAAGCATATACAAGTATACATTGTTACGGAGCGGAAAGAATTAGTTCTTCAGTGTGGCCTTTCAATAAAGCACAGAAAAGAAGTGCACTGAAGGTCACCCAAAATGAGTACAGGAAATCTTCCTCCAGTGCGGAATTAGTTTTTAGTAGTGTTTTGCAGTTAAGCACAGGGACAAATGTACCTTTTTTGGCTTTTTACTTTATTATATTACACGGTTGCCGGTCACGGTAGCCGAGCGGTCTAAGGCATGTACTGTCTTCGCTCGCTTGGAAACCGGGATCGTAGGTTCGAATCCCACTCAGGGCATGGATGTTTAGTTTGTGTGTGTGTGCGTTTTTCTGTGTTTGTGTACAGGTAGAGGCCTTGCGACGAGCTGATCACCCGCCCAAGGAGTCCTACCGAACGTGTAAGATCTAGAAAAATCGAAGTGAACGGAGAAGTTCATGGAGGTAGACCTAGGCCCACTGGGGCTGTGGTGCCAAGAACACAAAATATTACACGGTTTGTTCATAGTCAGATCTCTGTCATTTCATTGCAATAGCGCGTTCCCGTATCCCCACAAATCCCATATATTATTAAGTTCGCTTAACGACGATTCTGCTGACGGGCCGCTTTCGAGGGACGAATCCCCGGACTTGAATGAGGATTTTGAATATATCGCAACGGGAATAAAC